AGCTATTTGTATTATACTGAGCATAGCTCTTGTGAGAATACAAAGGCTTTTAGTGCCAGACAACAATGAGCTCGATTCGTATCATTCATTCTCTGAAGTTATTTTTAAGCTGAAGATTGATTGCACGAAGGATTCGTGCAATTTTCGAACCAACAGGCCAACTCTGCTAATATAACTTTCACCATTGATATGCGAAGAACACACTGCACTAATAATATTGGACTTCAGGTAGATATTACGATGGTAAAATACAAGTATGTAGTAGAGATTCTACTGAGATGCGAGTATTACGTAAACATTTGCAGTGCTATTAATAAACAAGGTTCAGCGTTAAAGTAAATTTACGCTAAAATTGCAATTTTAGTATTAGTTTAAATTCATATTATACAAAGAAAAAGCAAACCTACTACTACTACTTTCTAGGAGTCAATATTACTCCCGAAGAACCTCGTACTAGGTTAACCTTTGCTAAGTCTCTGTTTAGTAATATGAATGTGCAGTCTAAGCGTAAATTTACTCCAACGCTAAACCTTGTTTATCTTCTATACTAATCTTATAAAAAGGAAAACTTTGTATGTTTGTTTGTTTGTAATGAATTGGCGCAAAAACTACTGGACAGATTTTAAAAATTCTTTCACCATTCGAAAGCTACATTATCCACGAGTAACATAGGCTATATTATATTTTGGAAAAAATAGGGCTCCGTAAGATATTTGGGTTTTTCGGACACAAGGTTTAAAAGATCAAAATAAATGTTACTTATTTTGCGTACGCTGCCTAAACTATAATAGATAGAACCATAAAATGTTCTAATTAATTGTAGATCTTATAAATATCGACAGAAAAGACCGCGACACACTATACCTATCTATGTCGAGTGAGGCACAACAACCATTTTTTTATTTAAAAAAATCTTGAACTTTTTTGAACTACATTTAAACGCGTTTATTTTACTCATGCTATTAATCCTTATCAAAATATGTAGATAATATTTGGTCTTTGAGTGATTAAAATTGGACGTTTGGATTTGAAGTTATGGCGAAATTAAAATATTACGATTTTATTATGTGCGCGTGTGTTTAGATTTATATCACGCGGACAAAGCTGCTGGCGCAAAGCTAGTTATGTATTAATAACATTGTAGCAGAACTGACCTACTCAACGGCGCACTGCTAGCGTATTCGATCAGCGTTTAACAGAAGTTAAGCAATTTTTATCAGTTCAATATATCAAGCTTCTCTGTGCTCCGTTAGTACCTGCCCACCTGATGGTATCCATAGAGAAGGCTTGTACCTCAGCAATGGAGGCATTAATAAGATTATAAACCTTCATGTGTCGCTTTCTCTTTATGTATTGGAAAATGCGTGGATCATCATCCATGAGAGATTCAGAGATATTTATTAAGTTAGTTTTAATATTTTGTGTTTTCGAACGCTTTAGGGTCATGACAAGGGTTACTACTTTCTGGGGAAAGAAATCGGGACGTTTGAACATAAATACTAATTAACTCATGTAATTATTAGTTTTTATATTTTTAGATAATTTTTTAGATAAGCTGTACTAGGGCAATTTAGGAGTCACTTACGAGGGCAATTTATCTTTCACTTTTAAATAAGCATGAGCGAAGCAAAAATTTTTTATTGTTGTTATACCTTAATCAATCCTATGTGCAGGTACAGAAATACAAAATTAGTATTAGCCTAAGGCTAAAACTAAAACACTACTAGGAAACGGAAGTTGAAACTGACACAAATGTCAATTTCATCAAGATTAAAAGGAAATGTGTCAGGTATATAGTAAATAATAACGGTGTACGCGCTCCGGTTGGTGAGTGGTTAGTGACATCTATGTCACATGGCGGTGAGTGACTCACGCGCAAACACTGATTCATAAAGCCCGCTTTTATAGGACAATACAAATATAATATAATTATGATTCTGTATTTTAAACTCGCAATTGCTTATCTTCGCGAACATAAAAGCAAATTCCAAATGGATGAACAGACATCATCATGCAACATCGTGCATCGTGTAACTTTAATACATAAATAATTTCCTAATCGAATACTACTCGTAATATTGGATATTTATATAATTTATTATCTTTTTATTTCCCGTTGTTTATTTTTTATGACGGCTGTAATTGATAGTAAAATTAAATCAAAACGTAAACGTAAGTATTGGATTGTGTTTTAAATTAATTTAGTAATGGAGGAATTATTTCACAACGATTATTTCTAATGAGTACATAACTACAAAGAGAAAAATACGTTAATTAGCAGATACTTATTGCATTCACATATTGCAACAGCACACTAATAATATAACTACATTATAGGAATAGAAGAAAACTAGAAAAGATATAAACATGTTTGCCTGTCAGGTCAGCCGGTCAAGGTCTAGTGAGATGTTTTTGTTCAAATGCACAAAATCACGTTACCAAAAACTTGTATGAAAAATAAAAATACGGCGGCCATTGTGAATAATAACAATAATAATATTTGGCAACATAAAATATATGGCGTTTAGATGTTTTATATGATAACTTTTCAAACGGTGTTTTAATTTATTGCCAAACAGTATAATTAAGAAGAAACCGATTCCAATGTGTTTTTATAAGGAATTAGTTCGTAATTCATTTCGATAATTTCATTTCCCTAAAGTCACGTAGCGTGACGTGAGGAAACTTTAACTGAATTCATTTTAAATAACGTGACAATTGTACGTTACGAATAAACTGCACGTCACATATTCTCTGTTAATACATATATGTATTACCACCACTAATACATAAATGCGCCAATATTATTATAAGATAGTGTATCGGTCACGTCTCGCGCGGTTTAAGATAAGATTCCACATTACAGTACTAAATATACGTATACTAAAGTGTTACAAACTAAATTTCATACTTTTTTAAACGTTATAAGATCTATCGCAATGTGTCATCTACATAAACATAGTACGAGACAAAGTCGCTTCCCGCTGTCTGTACTTTGAGATATTTTTGATTACACAACGGATATTAATGCGGTTTTCATAAATATACAGAGTGAAAAGGACGTTTTAAATATATAATACAGGAGACCACACGAGCGAAGCCGCTGGCAGCAATGTGGAATATTTAATAATTAAATAGTACTAAAAAACGCTTTTTTTATTTACTATATACATTTCCTAAGTTTTTTTACTATATAAAGATAACGATCACAAATTTAAATCGATACTCCTCAAACTAAAAAACTTTTAAATTGAAATTAACAGTCAAAGTAAAAACTATAGTATACCTACTCAACTTGTGAATAGCGCAAAATGTTTGCGTAACGGTGCAATGCAGTCAAGTGCACTTATGTAAGAAGATCGCCTTGAAGAACTCAACCGACAAAATTATTGGAGTATTGGCAATAGACAGCGCTCATTCCAGCAGTCCACGCGTCGTATCGGACGACGTGTAAAAGAGAGGAACATATTTTTCTGGAAATTTCTCGCATGACATGATGAATTTCATGACATTTTACAAAGACGAGTGCTCAGTGGCGAAGGCTAAATGCAAGTGAGACGCTTTAGGTACTTGATATGTAGGCACGTTATCAGGTAAAATGCGAGCATACGGCACTGAGCTCAAATTATTATTTTTTTTGACAAGTCTGCATACATTCTTATGTCGTTAATAAGCTTGTAAATCCTTAGACAAGTGCTCCTCAAACACCCACCTAATTAGAACAAATCTCCGGAAACCAGAACGAATAGTCACCCTAAATTCAAAGTGGCAATTTAATCCTGACGTTTGTCGAATTAATAATTAATTTTGGCAATCTGTCAAGTGAAAAATGTCACATCATCTTTGTTAATTGCATCACCATGTATAACTCTAAAAAAAGATATTTATTGTAATTTGCACAGTGAAAAATTGAAGGTGTAATAAGAATTACTTTGGTAACAAAAGTTTCTTAACAATAGATATTGTAGTTGGTATCTATAAATAGAACAAACTATAGATAGAATGTAGTTCACCGTTTGTTACTGTTGTAATTTATCAATTGACTGCCACAATAGCAGTGGCTGTTTATAAAAAACCAAACTCATATGTTTCCTAATTTATAACTTCAAACTTTGAAAAATGATTTTCATCATAATTTCAATGAATAAATATCCTGCAATTTAATATTACAATGCTTACGTGAAATACACACAATAACACATCTTGTATGATGAAAGGTTATATTTTAACATTGGATTTAAAACTTGGACATACAATAATAATAAAACCTTATTTCAGACCATATTAAATTACAAATCAGAAACACGTGATCGATAGAGGTGATAGATTCAGGTGGCAATATCCAACCATCATCTATAAAAATATGATTTTTGTAGTACAAAATTGGATATTGAAGTTGGACTATTAAAACTGAATAGGAATAATTTGGCTTTCTGTAGTTTCTGAAAGGAAATTAAGAGAAACTAAATATTAAACTATAATATTAATATGAAACTTTCTTCACACAAAAAAATATATAAACATAGCAAACCCTACTAGATGACCATTAATACATACTTAAGAATCTGTTACCTACATATTCAATTAACAATTCATTATTCAAAGCCACATTAGAATATATGAGTTGAGACTCAGTATCTACCTATATATAAATTGGTGCAGCAATCTTCACGGAATTTATAACAACATTGAGTTCTTTCCCTATATCAAATTATGTAATTTGTAAAAAATGATAAACAGTATTAAAAAACCATTGTTCACAAAAATATGATACCCAAATCATGTATCATATGTTACCTTAACATCAGGTAGCTCGCATTCTGATTTTACCATCTCTGAGATATCAGGTTTGACTATGTAGATAATAAACTTACAAGATTGTGGTAGCTTCATTGTTTCAAATACTCCATAATATGAGTGCTTTAGCAACTAATCTTGTGTAATGTGTGTAATATCTTAATTTAAACATTGTATGAAGCGTAGTGAAAATTTACACTTACCATTACTTTCCACATTTTGGTTGTAGGAAATGTTAAGTTGAGCAGAGAACTGAACAACGATACACGTCACATTCTTTTCATCTGTGTACATCCATGTGCCTTGATCGGGGGCTGGAACTGGACCTGGTTTGGGCGTTGGCGCAGGAGCCGGTGTAGTGGTAGGGGCTTCAGTTGTTGTTGTTGATGTGGTTGTCTTGGGTGTTGTGGTTGGTTTGGGGGTTGTGGTGGTCGTAGTGGTCGTTGTTGTAGTCGAAGTTGTACTAGATGTAGTAGTGTTGTGTTTTGTCACGTCTGTATCGACTTCTGGTGGTGTAATTTCAGGAGAGACAGTCTCCGGAGCCGTAGGCACGAGATCTATAACTTCCGTTTTCGGTGGCAAAATATCCCCTCGACCTAAAGCATAATTAGTACTTAATTCAATACTGAAGGTAGACGAAAATCATATTCTTCACTAATGCATTTTGGGGTTTTGGTGCATAAATGATCGATAAAACAAAGAATAAACACCGACTACAAGTTGGCTTTGACATAAAGGACTTAAAAACAAAACAACAAAGAACCCATACTTCTATTTTGCAACAATTGTAACACATAATAAAATGACTTACCCAACAATGTGCAACTACACAACACTGCCAGGAACACAAAAAATCTAATTTTCGACATTTTTACGTATTTGTTTTAAAGTTTACACGCTAAGGGAAGAAATTCAAGTATTATTTTACAATTGCGACGCGTAGCGAACGATTGGATAAAATAATCCGGTACAAAGAAAATGTCTACTAAAAATCCAGCAAGACGTCAGTATTGTCAGTCACAATCAATCACAAACTCGGAAACACTCGTGAATTCATTCCATTCACTCATACAATCGGTCGGTCAAAGAAGACAGTTGACAGTTATGTGGTGCTGCCAGTATCTGAGTGGTCTAACTACTACATTTGGTTTCGTTTTTAAATATGAAATACACGTTGCAGTTTACACCACAACTTTGTATTGTATAAATATATGTTTATGTTTAATACGCAACTAATGGCTTAAGATAGCCTTACATTTGGTCGGCTAGCTCGCGTGGTACTGTCACATTCTTCCTCATTATCGTATTCATAGATTTGTTTTGATCTTGATATATTGATTTAATGAACCTTGTGAATGATTAAAAATCGATTTTGTTCGTAGCACTCTGAGATGGGCTCAAATCCATGACCTTTCGCAGTCGCCCGGATTGCAAAAAGTGATGAGTGGATAGGTATTGAGGAATATTTTCAGTATAGCATTGTGAATGCAAAATTAATTAAATATAGTAATTAATAAACTTTGCTTAATTATCGAAAAAATATCTTTTTGTTATTTCTTGTTAAGAGAAGGACGCATGGCATTGCTACCCAATCCGTTCTTTATTTTATTAGAGTTAAGTTCTGTAGATCGATATCTCTCTTCCGCTATTCCTTTGTCGCACTTAGAAGCACTGCTAAAAATTGTAAGTAAATTTATTACAAAAATAAAACGCTACTGATAAAATTAAACCATTTTCTGAAGCCCCAAAACCACTGCAAATCTCTAATACACTAAATTTCTAATGTTGTGATGGAAAGTGACTTTAATTGACATTTCTGTATGAAATAAGACGGGAAAAAAGCAGGTCTTAATGAGTTTCTTACCGGTTCTTTTCAATACAATTACTTGCAATAGCCTAGACTGAATAAATTATATTGAATTTGAATTTTAATGAGGGCTACCGTTTTTACCCCTACCAGATGGCGCGGCACTTACAAGAGGACTTCTCAACGTTTGTTGACTATGAGATTGAAACTAAATTTTGCTGTATAAAAAATATAATCAAAAAAGTTTTTTTTTTAAAAAACAAGCTTTTATTTATGCACACTAAAACGTAAATAATATTTTTATACAAGACAAGCGAGACTTCAAAAGCTTGTAGCGCTTATGTAATTGGAGACAAGAAAATATACATATTTCTTACATGCTACAAACTTTCCAAGTCTCGCTTGTCTCGCATAAAAATTTTATTTACGCTTACTCGCACAATTTAAAGCTTGTTTTTAAAAAACTTTTTTTATTATATTTTTATTCTTTAGTTTTGTCTCGATATGTTGTTGTTCTCATAAATACGGATCTAAAAAGCCCAAACACGATGCAGTAGCGTTATTTCATTGCCAAGTTCCTATGACCATCTTCCAGCTCCATTTTCACAAGACCAAATTCCTCATAAAGATGGATTTAATGAGCCCAAACACGATGCAGTTGTGTCATTTCCTCACTAACCTTCTATTACCTTCCGACTTCATTATCATATCAGTTTACGGACACCATAATATTACATTGTCATCTGACTTACATGTCTATGCAAAATTTCAAATCTGTCGGACAATGGGAAGTGGATTAAATTCGAGTTCTAAGATTTACGCACTAACTAACATACAAGTTAAATAAAAGTTTTTAATAAATCATTTTATTAAAATATTGAATATGTCGTGTTTATTGGGCCTCTGGTTTAGATTTTTTCTCATCCCGCTTAATTTTGCACTACTTTTTCTTAGATCGGTTCTTAAAGCGTTCACATTCATTGACCCTTAATTCATACTCGCTTTTATTAACCTCAGGTAGCCCAAAAAAAAGCTCAAAATCCATTTATTTGAAGAGACTAGAACTACGCGTAGTTCACCGACAAAATATGATATTTGACATTTTAAAGAGCTCATACTGCACCTGCGCCTCGAGTGGCAAATTTAATTGTAACCCATTTGAATTTGCCACTCGGGCCCTCATTGATAAGATATGCTATAAAATTAATATTGAAAATGTTTTCATAGTGGCGTAAAATCTACCTATTTGGTAGTTTTATAATATAGAATGGCAATAAAACTTCTGGGAATTATGGAAAGAGTCAGCCATAGATAATACATAATACTGGTCAGTCAGCTTAAAGACCATGTATTCAATTCATAGACATTATCGTAGATTTATTTATTTAGTCTATTGTCATTAATTACCCTCACCGCCGCAGATGAAATATCTCACCGCACTCACCAACCCTGCGATTTTGTACAAATCCAAACCCGAATTCGAATTCACTAAGGTGTCCGAGTTCACTTCAAAAAGCGGCATCAGCTCAATTTTGAATTGGTAATAACGTTTCGTGGCGTAAGTGAAGTGAGTTTCGAAATGACATAGGAATAAAATGTCTGAGGCACGTATATCGTATAATCAATTTGTTTTGTATTTTTATACAAAAAAATGGAATAAATAGCATTTCTTTAGTAAATGACGTGAATTCGAATTCGGGTCTGACATTTACAGAATCGCAGCGCAGTCATCAAGAACCATAGATTTATTATTTTTAAGATTTTTTACGTAGACTGACAATCTATTCTTCCTTTCCAGTCTTCGGTCTATGATTTTTACCAACTACTCATTCAACTCATTGTCGATGTCCAAAAGCAGCGATAACTTTGACCATTAGGTGCCATCACCACGCCACGCGAGAATTGCGGCGATATTATCATCGTGCCACGTATTTCTATATACTCTTTATGAACGCGTCTTCACATGGCGATATTGCCGCGGTATCTTCGCTACTGATGGCGCTCATGCCGCGCGCCCGCCGCATAACGTGGCGCCCTCGCAGCGAGCGTGCGGCGAGTGCACAGAACAATAATACTCTAATACTCTACGAGAAGAATACCAACTTCATAGAAAAATATTATCCATAAAAACTAACTCCACCTATAGTTAGTCCTCCGAAACAAGTGTTTCGGAGGACTAACTGAGGACTGTTATGGCGGGAAGTTTAAATACTTACTTTTATACTTGAGTTTCATATTAACTACCAAATTACTAAAACCAATGTTTTCAGTGAATATTTTTCGTATACGAAATCCATAACATAAACAAATTCTGCAAACGAAAAACATCCACAGGGAACACAGGTTTTAGTAATTTGGTAGTTAATTAGGTGAAATATAGAGACTACTTCAAAAAGGGAATATAATACAAGCAGATTATAATAACACACTTTATTTTATTATTATTTTAACATACCGTTTTATTACACAAATTAAGTGAATTTTCAACATACTGTTTGGTTTTTAAAAATTCAACATTAATTTACAAACCTTCAGAATTATTTTAATGTGTGCACCAAATTATTAAGAAAATGATTTTGACACAGCATTCTGTGTTCAGTGTACAATTTAATTTAGAATTCCGTCCTTTGGGGAAAATATATTTAGCCATGGTTCACATCTGAAAACAAATACAACGAAATTAAGAATGTTATACCCTTATAGTACAAGAGATAGAGCTAAATTTTCCTAAAAAATATATAACAAACTAATTTAATTTATAGTACGTAATCGATAAACATGCTTAATCACCTTCACCTACATAATCACTTTTATCAGAAATAACATAAAATTCTTTCATACAGATTGGCATGAAATACCTAATACTGAAGCTCTTTGACTCAAGGCATATTTTTTACAACTAAATAGAAGTATTTATGTCAATTCTAACTCTACTGCTAATAAAATAACTAAACACTAGCATTACGTAATGGGAATATTCTCTTGTTAAAATGTAGCGGAACTTCACGTACCATTTATTAGTTTGGGAATCTATAGATAGAAGATTAAAGCAAGTACCGTATAAGATTCCTTTTAGCCGGCTTCGGAAAACGAGAGAGCTTTACATTATGCTGGGTTGGCGAACGTCCACACTTAAAATATTTTCTTCTGTTTTCTTATCAGCCATATTTTCAACAACCACAACAGAAAAGAGTCACTATCTCAAATTTCACAAATAACTATGAATCCACTTTCTAAGCACATTAAAAGGAGGAATAAAAGCTCATTTCGACGTTATAATGATAAGAAAATGCAGGAAATAAGTAATTGTGATGGAATCGTATGGAACAAGTGGGAACAACAACAAAACAATTTGCCTTTATCGACACCATATTTATCAGTTACAAAAAATAACTACTACTAATTTTAACAATGATACCTTCCAATAAATAAAAATTAAAACGATTGCAACTCAAAAAAAAATAAGAGTCAACTGTATTACTTACTGCACTTAATAAAATCTATTTCTGAATTTTAAAAACTTGTATAAACGGAATTTTCTTGGTAAAAGACAACTATCTGTGACTACTTAAATGTGTGAAAGTAATAACATGAGGCAACACTGCAGATTCATTTCATTGCCATACTATTAAATCTTAGTTGCTAGTAAAAAATATGGTATTATGAAAGATTATTTGGGTCGTTCATCATAAAATTTTGCCCCTCTAGGTAAAATTTTACACTTGTATGAAGTAGCGACAGCTGATTGCGAAATTGCCTCTCACCAAGCAAGGATGTGATCTAATGTATTGACAAGCTTTATATATAAACAATACATATGTATAATATTTGATTTCGAAAAGTTAATACTTGAAGTGAGTAAAAAAAATTTAAAATCGTATAGGGCATATGATTTTTTTGAGACTACTTATTTCGCTCTCGTCTGACACTTAATTGAATTTTTCCAACAAAAAAAAGAACAACGCATCGTTAAGGACATGCGGCGATCCCGCCACGAGTCGTCGCGGATACGGTGGCAGAATAATCGCTCATTCGTGGAGAATACTCGATGATTGAAGTGCGCACTCGTCGCGATTCCCTCGCTCGTGGAGACAGCGCCCTAAACGAACAGAGCAGCAAAAAAATTAAATATTGATTGTTATTTTTTTTTAATAATAAAATTAACTAACATATTGTAACTTTTAAATATACTGGAACTTGTGATCTATGGAGATGTTTCAAATAGTTCAGTTTCCACGGCGATATTCGAGGATACTCGACGATACTACTCGTATTTCATTTTAACGACATAGGTCCCTACCTTCTTCGGCGATATCAATTAAAGGAAATCACCTATGTCCCGACACATGGTCAATTTGTAAATAATGACAAAGCAGAATCTGAATTGAAATTTTTATGAAAATCTGTGCTGCTTGGAAAAATTATACAAGAAAATGAATATCAACTGCCAAGACTGTTTGTACTATAGTTTAGTACAAAAGAAAAATCGACAAATAAAATGTGTAACCATCTCCCAACTCACATGTTTGCGACTACATGCAACCTCGAGTCCACGACACTACAATACAGGTCGGGAGTAGTTTCGACTTCTGACAGCTATTCCTATTTTCGTATTGTAATATCACCTTCCTTCAGGTGTGTAGTTGCAAAATCTAATAAAAAAATACTTGATTTATAATGATTTTATTAACATCACATTACACATCTATGAGAATAAAACTTAAACATTTTTATTTATACGACTACAAACAATAAACTTAGAAGAAATTAATAAAGTTAATTTAAATAAATTAAATTAAAGTATAAACTACTTTTATATACATTAAAATAACTAATATTATAAGCTAAATTGCAAAAATTCGCAACTTCTTAATACATCTTAGTTGATAAAGTTAATTATTATGATCCATTATGCTTTGACAATGCTATGTTAATATTTATCTTAAAGAATTTATTAAGCATTTTTATTTAAGATAAATAACCAAGATATCATTGAGTGGTGGCTTAGGCACATGCCTAAGTTGCTTAAAAGCTCGAAAGACAGAGCGAGAAAAATTACATTTGTATAATATAAAATAATTGTAGTTTAAAGAAAAAAGCTCTTATGTTTTCATCAATTTTTCTTGTTTGCCTCAAAATCTTACCTTTTAAAAATAAGATAGAAATTGAGACATGAGATTTCAGTATAAAATATTTTTGTATTGTAAGTAAGTAAATACTTCTATGTTATCTTATTAAAATAAACAACCATTTAATTTTATTGCTGGTAAACTTAAAAAACTAATTAAGTAACATGTATTTTTTTTTTTCAATAAGTATATGTAACTTTGATCAAATGCAATATATATTGGTAAAATAAAAATATTATTTTACTTTATATCTTAAAATTGTTTTTATATGTATAATTGAACAATTATGTATATACCATAGCGGAAAATAAGTATTAGAAGAACATTTTAAAACTGAAGTTTTATAAATTATAAATGCTTTTACTTCTTTCCAATGATAAACACTTAATCATGGTACTTAGAATAAATTTAGAATTTTTTATGTATGAATGTCAAAAATATATTTTAATTAAAATACCAACAGATTATCTTGTTAAAGAATAAGATTAATACATGTGGGTAGTTAGTTTACTTTGTCATTGTGCAGGCGACATAGCTTAAGAAATGGAATAACTTAATTTCGTGTTTTAATGGATATAATAGTATTAATCCTGACTGCCTTAATAAATTTGGATTTGTAGGTTAATATAACCAGAAAAATAACTATCATTCAGGTAGTACCGATTATTTATGTAATTATACGTTAAAATTATGTTAATATTAGATATAAAATAATTTCTTGAATATCTCTAAATAATGTAAAGATGTTTTAAGTTAATAATAAACTTTATAACAGAACTAGATTATAACAGACTAGATATGTCTAAACTAATTAATAGACCCTACAAATCTAGTTACAATAAAATTCAGAAATTAGTCAATAGCCTACTTATTACTAATAGCCAAAACACATTACTTAACTACACATATTGTTTACTCAATTACAACCACAAGAAGCATGTAGTGCTAGTGCAAGTCTGAGTCAAATATAAGGTAAGCCAAATTTGAACCTTTTATAAATATAATTTCATTAAGATTAGATGACCATACCATTGACAAGCTATATAAAAAAAATTGACGTCACAATTCCTTAAATTATATCTGTACTTAATCTTATTTTAACAAGCGACACCAACTACTGAAGAAGACACCCGTGTATGCACATTAATTGGCCTTAATTACTTTTATAATTCTTTAATTTATAAATATTATTTGTATTTAATTGTATTTATAAGTAATTATTATATTTTTATCTATAAGGATTTATACGGATAGATTGTTAAATAAATAATTGTTAATCAATAAAAATATTATATACTTGAATTTTGGAGACGTTTAAGCACCTAGTCCAAAACTTCAATGACCTAGTCTAGTACAAATAAAATAAAATCTGTATGACTACAGACCATAAGTATTAACAGTAAATATTTAAAATATAACAACCTTTTCTTGGTAACGCAGGGGAAACACCCTGCCCTGAAAAGGATATGCTCAGGCGTGGTTAGCCTGGTAAAACCCTCTGCGGTACTGGTACCCGGGACCCCCCACCGGTACCTTCGGTGGATGTGGGTTCCCGAATCCAGTAAGAGGCCCGACGGATCGCGTCCCACAACAAATGAGACGTAGGCATATCAAATGATTTTGTGCCAAACTTTAAATATTATCAGCTTGGTGTTATTTGTTAGTATGAAATGTTTTTATGGAAATTCAGAAAAGTGGCGTTTACATAGTTTTTCCTAACAACAATAGTGATTCAGAACTATCAAATATTGATGCAGCAATATAACAAAGAGACAGATTTTATCATATTTTTAAACATGTTAAAGTTTTTTAATGATTGATGAACAGCTCGAACCGCGCGCGTCCTACTCTACTGGAGGGGTCGTAATATATGTCCCGAGTCCAAATGCGGCACTCCACGTTTATCAACACCTCACCTGGAAACAAAGCACTATTAGTCTGGCCGCATACATTCGTTTTCGAACGCGCACTTTTTAAACGAAGTACATATAAATACGAAATACGAAAAAGTACTAATAGAACATGATTTGTATATTGAGTTATGAAAACTAATTTATTTTTAAACTTGAAAGAAAACCAGAAAAATTGTCATGGAGAAATCAAGAACGTACCGTAGCGAAATTTAGTATGATTTCGGGAACTAATGTTTTTTTTCAAATACTTCCTCATTGGGAAAAAACAACTTTTTTTTGGTAACGCAGGGGACTTATACTTAAGCCTTAAACCAGGGCTCGCATCCGTCTTGAAATGGGCAAACTTAATGCGAGGCCGGCCTACCTGGTAAAACCCGTTGCAAGTACCCTCAGGAAAGAGGAAAAACCTGGGGCGCGACCGCCTAACTCATGGACGTAGCCGTAGTCGTAGCTATAACCTACGCTTTATCGATATTTCTTATGAATCTGTTTATATTCTTTTAAAATTATTTGTATTTTTTTAAAAGTTTATCAAACATTTTGGTTTGTTTTTTTACTTTAATAATTCTGCAAATAAAAACAACTAAAAGCATTGGTTAAATATGTAAATAATAAAAAATGATTAATTTTAAAAACAATATCAACAGATTCATGTGTAAAACCTATAAAACGTAGGTTATAGCTACGACTACGGCTACGTCCATGAGTTAGGCGGTCGCACCCCTGGGCTCCAGCAAGGAGTTAATGTTAGTAATTCCTTAGCCCCAGAAATAAATGATATAAGAATAATTTTATTTATGAAATTATACAATACAGTAATAATAATTCTTTCAGAAGGAAAGGGAACGTTCAATATCAACCGATCACAATTACAGGAAGTAAGTCAATAAATACTGATGACACACTACATATATCTAAGAGCTGAATATGAGACTAGCAATACAATAACAACGCCATTAAAACTCGACGCTGACATCAATATATAATGAAAAAAAAAACTTACGCCGAGGATTCTCGAAGAAAACCGCGATAAGAGGTGGTGGTGTCTGGTCGGGTAGATTCCTGTTGGCGTACGGGATCTTGTCAGCGGTGTGCAGCCGTGAGACGGGGAAGCCTGGCGGCAGTCCGGCGGGGATGAACTGGATGGGACCTATGTTCTCCTTGTCGGAGTTCATCTCGCCCCCGCAGGAGACCCAGACGTAGTCGCCGAACGTTTGGGCGGGTCGTTGAATCTGAAAATGTATTGCTTATTTGCAAGATTTTGGGATACGCAAGCTTCTTATTTTGTATTTAACACCGACGAAATCGCATGGGACGGGTTTCTGACGACTATCCGAATATCACGAATTTTGTTTCTCATAAGGTGACAACCCTGTCATCATTCGCATAGTTTCGCAGATGTTTCACATTCGCTAGCGAATACGTAGAGTATGCAAACGGCTCGGATTCGAAGTATCGGCTTCTAGTATTGATACCGAGTAGTCATGTGGTATGGCACGGCAATAATTACTGCTATATATAAATATATAAAAAAAAATTAAATTAAAAAGCCACAGAATAATACTACCACATACCTATTAATAAAATTTAGTCATAATAGCCAAATGTCAACTGTAAATAAGCCGTATCAAGCAATACTCGATACTAGATATTTTTATGAGTACTTGCGAGTACTCACCATGCTGTAGTATCGAGTCTCGCTTTTGAAAGTATCGATACCTACTCGGTATCGAAAGTATCGTTCGAACACTACTAATGGCGTAAATAGCTATGTTTTTGACTATTTCATCATCATCATCACCAACAGCCATATATGGGCTCTGTTTCATGTATGATTTGTTTCTATTTCTGGCGAGTTAATATTCTATAAATAAATTCATGCGTGATCTTAAGGTCTTACCATGAATTGCTTCAAATGTTCCGGCATTTCCGTGGGGATTGACAAGGAGGTGGAAACATTGTAAGGATGCGGAATCCAGTAGTGCAGCTGTAAGGCGAACGAACCAATTAATATAATGAAACACTATTTTAAAACTTAATGAGGAAGTATTAAAAAAAAGCATTAGTTCCCGAAATCAAACTAGATGTCGCTACGGTACTTCCTTGATTTCTCCATGACAAGGCTTCCGCTTTTCTTTCACCTTTCCTTTACCTTATTCATTTAACGGGTTCCGTGACCCATGCCGTCAGCGATTACGTCACACCGTTCCTTTTGACAGTAAACGTCATTCTTTTCTTCGTGCGACCGCTAATGTAAACACTTAGCAATAAAAACTATAGTTCTACGAAGCTTATGAATAACCCAAACAACTTAAAATTATTTGACACTTTTACGAGGTGCCGAAAATTTCTTATCGTCGTGTATCGCACAATACGCGCATTGTTAATCACATATATTCGTTTTATTCAATATATTACCATTATAATAGATGTTAAAAACATATATGTATCCATTATAAAAAAATAAATAGGCGAGTAAAAAGTAGCAACTTTTTTCCCGCTTTAGGGACCTAAAGGTAGAATGTGTTGGTACCTACTTGATGATGGAGACAACTGGCCAGGGAGACTAAAGGATAATTATCTCCCTACGAGCTAGGTGTTATTAGCCCGGGGACCGCGGTCCTACCGATGTAGGTTGGACGTTCTATTTATGTTAATTGGTAATGAAACTTATTCTGTGCGATGAAGGTTTCTTTGTTCTAAATGACTTGTAGTTATTAATTTATGATGTTTGTATAGGTACAGCGCCATCTCGTTACTTGGTGTTGAAACTTCTTGCAGTTCGTCTTGCTATCGATGGCTGTGACAATGCTAGTCTTCTCACTATCGATTATTGTGGCGATGTTAGTGCGATGAGTTAGATGTCGCTATGTATCAGTTGCCACAAATATTATGTGTACACGTTGTTTTGCTATATCCTTTTGAAATTAGTATTTTTACTACTACTTTATATAAGTTATAATGTAAGATAGAAAAGTAGAGTTATTGAGAGCAATCTTAAAAATTCTTTTACTTTTTCTTTTATTCATTGGTTCACAAAAAATTATTTTATTTCTTACAGTTAATAAAAATAATATATCAGATATGGAGCAAATTTGAAGTATTATGTGAAAGTATGCACTTCTAGGACCACGATTAGGCATTATCTGACGTGTGCTTTACATATTTGCATATTTCAACTGTAATACCTCTAACTCAAAATGCTACAGTTTAAATAATACGACATAGCCTCAAAAACATATTACACGATTACTCGATACTCCCAGGTTTTAAAAATATATTTAATTTCTATCTTTTTTCTAGCTGCATAGGCAAACAAAATAACATGTTTCATCAAGTTACGTTTTATTCGATTTTACTAGTCCAAGCAAGTTAGGCAGATGGCCATTGTTCTTTACCTAAAATACAAAAAAATAGGACTTCTTATTTTTGTATCACTATATTGTATAAAAAAAACCCTATTCAACAATATTACACATAATACTTTACTGTAAACAATCTTCATAACAAGCCGTAAAATTCTTATCTTATATTACGTTCCCGCTGTAAGTACATAGGAGGCCGCGCGTGACCTCGCTCGGCGCGGTGGTCTTAGCGAGAGTGAACTCTATTACAACGCACTAACAGCGTTTCGAACTTGCGTGCTTGCGAACCGATATCAGTTTTATTTACCAAAATAATATAAATATAATTTAAGAAAATGATTCTTTGATAGTCTCTTATTGTAATCTTATAAGATTCTTATTGGTCTAATACGTAATAATAATCATAAAGGGCGATTTAGAGTCATTGGCATTTTTTCGACTTTTATGAAATACATTTATCGGAATTCGAAAACCATTTGAAAAAAACGGATTCCTTAATTAGTCATCTTTCAACTTATCTCTAGTTTTAATAGACTTTAATTGTGTTATCATCTAATAAGACGTCGGGAAAAAACGGCCCGCGCGCTTTTAGACTAACGTCACTTTGAAGATACGATTTGTCAAAAATACGTAATAAAACACATCTGCAGAAGTTTATAGCAAAAGAAACATTCTAAAATAAACAGTTCACTAACCTTTTTGTCGAAAAATAAACCACAATGTGTAATTTACCGGCACTCTCACTGCACTAAACCGTACACTCCTAAGTAAATATACGGCACTGACTAACGGTCAACTTGAAAAATTTTTTTTGGTAATTCTTTTAAGGAGAGAGTCTTGTTTTTTGAATTTAGTGAATGGATAATGTGTCATTCTATTAGGAAAAAAATAGCCAAACATAAATTATACTTATTAAAGTGGTAATGAAGGTTTTTCTAGACATCTGACCGCGCGCTTGTATACAAGCGCGTGGTAAACGGAGCACTTTTTTTTAGCGCTTGCATGCAAGCGCGCGGCAAACGAAGGGTTCATGTATAAAAGTAAATTAGTTTTCAAAACTCATATTCTATTTGTATTTTTTCGTATTCGTATTGATATCTACGTTTCAAACTTTTCAAATTTCAGTTTTTTAATATGTTAGTTAAAAGGAACGGAAATGACTGTCTTTGGTCCATTCGTTTCCTGCAAAAATGAACTTTTGCTAGAGTCGCCATCTAGTGGAGGTGCTTTTATAGTGCTTTCGTTTTATTTTTTCAAATACTTCCTCATTGTTTTTGGATTAGATTCTAGTGCCGTTAAGATGTGCTCGTATTTATTATTATTACTGAATAATAATCCGGCACTGAATATAACAAAATAATGTATGATTATATAATTTTTACGGCTTTCGTAAACGGAGCATAACTTTGATTTAATACATATTATTATTTTGTACGTTGTCGTCAGATTCTTTTTCCTTCTCGTCTTCGACCAAAATAAATGTTTATTATAATTTAACTCCCATTTGTGCCTAGCATTATTGAGAAAGACTTCTAGTCTTTGTTTTGTAGACCACTAATTGCTTGAATTATAAATACTTACATAGTTGAGACGCAAGAACACGCAAGGTGTGCCCATGTTGTACCCGTAGAATTCGTCAACTGTACAAGGTGCCCAGACCCTCATGGCCATCTCACAGTCGTCGCTCCTGATCTGCTGCTCGTGCCTGTTGTCGATGGAGCACGGGGCACGTGGTGGGTCATCAGGAATGGTGGTCTCGTATGCTACATACAAAGAAAGTCTCCGATATATCTAATAAAGAAAGACAAAGCTATACCATTTACTATTCAGTATGAATGCGTAAATTTATATCCCATTAAAAACATAACATGTATAAAAATGCGCAAGTTCCACAACGCGATTCTTCAGTCGTAAAAAGTTATGAAATCAACGTAAACCAAGTAGATTCATTCGGTACCTACCTATCTTTCTGTGAGAGCAACTCGATGAATCAATGGCAAGGGACGATACCCTTGCCATAGATTCAGATTGATGAACTTGTAGACTTTTATAATGGAAAATTGACATTGGTCGTTAGGGCCCGCATGGATAGTGCAAGTGATTCATACGGGCTCATATCACTGGCCGATAAACTCTCAGTTTCAGTCAAACACTAATGCAAATAAGCACAGAAATTTTTGCCTTCCGCATGCTGGCCCTATCGACCAATGTAAATGAGTTTGTACTAGTCAGGAAACCAATGACAGGCGTTTTGGTCGCTCGGTTGTGGCGCGCGTGCATGTCTCTCATAGCAATATCAGGGACAATGTGCTGTAAGCGTACTGCTGTGGCTCGCCTGGAGCGTCTATTTGTCTATGGGAGGAGTGTGAGTGTGAGAGTCCTATAAGTAAAGGGACACTTAGTGTATAACCTTGTCATTATGTAAACTTAAGTTTACGTTCACTGTCAATCGTGAACGCGTTAAGATTTTGGTATGGAATCCGGTACAATGCCCCTAGCAGTAACTACCAAGAACTACAAATCTCCATACGCGTTATCGTAAAACTTACACTTACCATTCTCAACTTTAAAATACTCACGTTTAAGGAACTCGTTAATGCGTTTGTACCAAGGATGCCAGCTGCCAGTATCCGAGGGCCGGAACTGGATGAGGGGCTCTTCCCATTTGTTTTCATCAGATCGTGGCCACACCTCCAATTCTATATTTTTAAATAGGGGAAATAAATTATATATAGTTAGACAATTATTATATATTTATAAAATTGTTCCCTACGGCGTTTCTTACTATTTATCAGCAGATTAATTATCAATAATGTGCGAAATTAATATATACATTTTATAAAATTTTAATCGATTAATAAATAAGAAGTGATTCATCATCAGCAGCGTCATCGTCGTCCTCAGAAGAAAGAAGGAGTGATTATTTGATTTATATCTATCAGTTAATACCACTATACAAACTTTTTAGTTGTTGGCCAAAAAATGATAGCCTAATAGTTGGACAAATAAAGTACCAATCCATTCTATTACCGTATACTACATTATCTCCGCCTATGCACTAAATTCTCATAGTGTTAACTAACTAAGCATTATTAGTCTAAGAGGACATAACAAAAAATATATTTCAGTATGTTGAAGTACTAAGAGTATACGTACACAACTCAGAAACCAATGCGGAGGTCTGGTGGGAACAGTTGGTGGCGTTGGGGTAAATGAAAAGTACCAAAGACCATAACACAGTGATTTTTAATTATTTAATATAAGCAAAAAACTTATTATTAAAATAAAAAAAGAGAGAACACTGCTCAGTTTACACAATCGTGAAACACAACGATTTAACTAATCTCAAAAGTTGGTGTGAAAATGAGCTCCGAAAAAGTTTCGTAAAGGTTGAAAGTTAATTAAAAGTGGCTTTTGCCCGCAACTTTGTTCGAGTGGTATATTTAGTTTGGGCAGCATTTGTCAAACGAGTATTTATTAATCATATTGTATAAAATGCTTGAAATAAGGTCACATGATTTTATCTTTGCCAATGATAAACTTCTGTATAAACTTTAATTCCTTTCATCATAATAATAAGCAACCTATGTCCTATCTCAAGTCAACTCTATTACTATTATTAGTATTGTGTGTGTGTGTTGATATGTTGTTTGTATAAATGAATAAAGATTGTATGATTGAGTGTATGAGTATGAGATTTTGTTTGATGTATTCTATAATGAAACTGTAGTAAGTAGCTGCTCCTTCCTATCTAACACTTACCTCTTGCACTCGTATTTATTCAAATGGGCAATGGTAATATATCTGATTATCTTATTATAAATAAAGTTTGCAAGGAAGTTGTAAGAACGTTTAGCGAAACTTGTTCGGCAACCCCGTTTATGTCTGCAAACAATATCCTTACGACGTCTCTGAGAGTTTGATTGGTCGGACTGCGTGCTTTTTCAAAACAGTAAATAATAAAAACAACCCTCTGACGCTAAGTACTTCGCAAAATTTCAACAGAAGGCTGGTGGGATACAGATATGGTTTAAAATTACAAACCTTCAAAACTGCTCGCTGAGCCACCTCCAAACATTTCAAATTTGTTTTTGGCATCCCTCCCCAGATAATTACACCGTAGGTTAGTATAGATTGACATAATGCCAGGTAAACTCGTTTGAGATGCACAGGTTCGAGAACATGTCGTAGTATCTTAAAGGTAGCTATAAGTTTTCTCACCCTGCCACATGGATTCCAAACATGGATTTTATAGGACATATTATTGTCAAATGAGACACCAAGATATTTAATGACATTTACATAATTAACCACTGCACAGTAACAGTTATCAGCGATTTGAGGGCTGCAAGTATGTAAGCGGAGCTAGCGAAATTGCAGCGAGTCACTTGAAGTATTCCGTATTGTGAAAAAATATAATTGGTTTTGTCCGCATTTAGAGTCAAAAAGTTTGAACTCAGGCAAGCATTCACTCGATTTAACCCATTTTGAGCAGCCTCACAGGTCTCACTCAAATTTCTGTCTGAAAACTTAAGGACCGTGTCATCTGCATAGGTCACAATTTTTCCATTACTGAGATTTAATTTACAGAGCTCGTTGATATACACAAGGAAAAGAGTGGGACCCAAGATGCTCCCCTGGGGGACGCCGTGTATTACCAATGACTCGCTGCTAGAGTATCCAGAAATATTAACGGATTGGTATCTTTCAGATAGGTAATAACAAGTATTAACAAGTTCTCTATCAATATTAACAAAATAATTATTTACTCTATCAACAGATTGTTCAGGATTTGAAGATATAGTTAAAAGTTCATTCGCATTGCCCTTGTTATCACTATTATAGGTTATGTTTTTAATGACCTCCCATATCTTTTTGTTATTGTTAACAGCTTTTTGTATTTGATCTTTATCATATTGCCTCTTTATTCTTTTCAGTAGATTATTACAGAAATTTCTGTTTCGAATATAAGTAAGGTTAAGAGTTTCATCCACAGGATTCCGTTTAATTCTAGAATGTAATCTGTCTCTGAGCCTAATACATCTCAGCAGCCCCGGGGTAATCCAGGGCTTAATGATTCTTTTCGACCTTGGCATTGTAACTATCTTAGTATTTTGATCAGCTGACGTTTTATTTGATTTATAATATAGCTCATTTGAAAATTGGGATCATCACAGCTATATATAGGTTCAGGATCAATATTTAAAATATCGGAGTTTAATCCCTGTACATTAATTCTCTTCTTAGTGCGTTGTAAGTCATTCCTACTAGGTTGAGAATAGAGGAAGAAACCAACTGCTTTATGGTCAGTAACAGTGGAATCAGGAACAATTGTAAAATAATTCAATTTAGATTTAAGCAAAACATGGTCAATACATGTTCCACTTTGATCTCTTGTAACAAGGGTGTATATTGGCAAGAGACCATAGAAAGCAGTGAGATTCAAGTTTATATCACCTGCAAGTATAATGTTGTTATATGAGGATAATTTCTCTAACTGCGAACCAACCGACGAGATGAATAGATCAATGTCTGATTTTAAATTAAAAGCAGGCGGTCTATAGACAGCTAAAATAGCAGTTTCTGTTCCCAGAGTGATAAGAAGACAGTTTCCCTTATGAAAATCAGGTTCATCTACTGAAAAGTGTAAGTTTTTCTTAACAAAGACTACAATTCCATCATTTTGATTGTGAGTTATTTTGGAAGAAAGTGATACGTAATCACTTAACAACGGAATAATCGGATTACATGAAATCCAGCACTCAGTCAATTTTAAGACATCAAAATCATATTTTAGTGGTCCAAGTAATACCTCAAAATCAGAAAAATTATGATTGATGCTTCTTATGTTTTGTGTCAAGATAGAGAGTGCGGTTTTGGACAGTGGTTTATACTTATTGAAATCCTCCACTGCACAAGATAAAGATCGAAACAGATCCTCATCTAAGCTACAACAGTAGTCCTCTATATTACACATTGCGCCAAACGGGATGAAAATTGTTCAGAACTTTTGTACAATTAGAAACATAATATAATAAACCTATGTTGACCCTAGCACTCGCTGCTAACTCAGGAATTAATAATGTAACTCTAGTGCTACTGTATCCAATTATATCATTATGTTTATAATTATGTTTCTGTTTAATGTTAAGATAAATAGTGTAAATATTGTAAAGTTTGTCAGATCGTCTATAAAAGTATAAAATATTAAGCATTTGATTGTAAATCTTATAGATGCAATTTATTGTAAAAGTTTCATGTGCAATGTCTGTATAATGTGTGAATATGTTGTATATTATAAAATATGCATTTTGTATAAGATGTATATATGCATGTGATTGTAAATTATATTGGTGTAAAATAATGTAACAGCCTCCAGTGTGATGTGAGTATAGATTTTGTATATATAAAATATAATGTTGATTTTGTGATCTAAAAAAATTGAAACGGTAATTATAGTTACAATACAAAAGTGAAGCAATATTACTACAGTTAGATATTAATATTATGATTAAAACTAAAAACAAAAGTTATAAAAGAGTATTCTATGATATAGTCACTGGTCAGCGATCGAGACTAAGACACTCTCGCTGCTGACTCGAACATAGGGGGTGCCTTCCTTAAGTCTTAAATAAATTTTACAATGTGAAATCAAGCCAAATGAATATTTGTTTCTCTTGGCAAATTCTCTTGCTGTATAATATATTTTTTTTGTTTGGAAAGTAATATTTTCTGTGACGAAAACAGGTTTTGCGGGCCCATCAAGGTGCAGTCTGCTAGTTCAACCTATCGATTTTGTGTTCGTTATTATAATTTTTAACTGCTTTCAGAATCTTCTCCTTTAACAAGGCACTAGATAATTCTACAATAATTGGTTTATTGTTCTCGTTTTTAGAGTTTATACGGTAAATGTTACGATTATTCGATTTATCAATCGGCACGCCTACAACCCTGGCAGTCTCTTGTGCTATAAAAAGCAGTTTTCATGATTCTCGTTTGGTAATTTGGGTATGTTACATAATTCAATATTTGCTGATCGAATACTTCTCTCTAATGTTTCCATTTTAGATTCCAAGATAGCTATTTGTTGACGATTTGAATTCTTTTCATTTTCAAGGGTGCGGATTTTTTCAACCAATACATCATATTTTTCGGACATGAAAGCTATAGATTTATGTATTTCCGAATTTCGACCCTTTATTTCTTCGATTGCTGATAAAATATTCGTTTAATTAACTTCCTGTTCCCGCTTCCATGACGAAAACATTTCCATAAATTAATTCCTAAAAGATTGCAGTTCATCCTCCCCACGTTTACGCTTACGCTGATTTATATTCTCTATAGCTGATAATTCGCATTTCGCGGCAATGTTTGGAGCGGATTCGCTATGCTGCCTAGTACCGGAGCTACACTCGCTATTCCTTTTCGTCGGAGTACATTTCATTCGTTTCATCATAGCCAACTGGTAAAAAGATCAGTCCAATAGTATTATTATAAATATTGTAAGCCCTTATATTTGAAATCCGTATTGAGGGGGTCGTGACAAAAAATGTAGATAATCCAACATTTTGTGGCGGCAGCCATCTTGTATATAAAATTTTGTCATAGTAAACAGTATTCTACTACTCAAGCCTTTTTATTTGATGTCCGTATTGAGGGAGTCGTGAGAAATATGTAGGTAATCCAACATTTTTGGTGGCGGCCATCTTGGATTTGAAATTTGTCATAGTGTTCAGTATTCTACTACTCAAGCCCTCTTATTTGATACCCATATTGATGGAATGGTGATAAAATATGTAATCCGACATTTTGTAGCGGCGGCCATCTTGGATCGATTTTCATCAAAGTGAAGAACACTCCCGACCTTTCAAACAAAATCAAAATCGGTTCATCCGTTCGGGAACTATGATGCCACAAAAAGACACAAACACACCACACACACACACACACACAGACTCACAGACATGTCAAACTTATAACACCGCGTCGTTTTTGCGTCGGGGATTAAAAATAGATTGAATTTTAAAAAAAGTTGTTTGATATGCGGATCTCCGATAAATTTGATATCGGTCGAATTGCATCGAGCCATAAGTCTAAGTTAATCCTCATTACGTAAGTCAACTTCTAGTGAAAGTCTCTTCAAAATCGGCCAAGCCGTTTCAGAGATTAGCCAGAACTAACAGACAGACAGATAAAGTATATTATTTTTGTATATGTACCATGTATACACACAAATGTATTTAGTGAAAAGCGGTTATTTTAATATTAGGTACAAATATACACTCCAATTTTTATGTACTAGTATAAGTGTATTGAGAGAATAAGTACCTTGCTTTATTTGCATTTTTTAATATAAATATATATATTTAAACTTTCTTATACAAATATACCTAGGGGTCTTTCGACCTATGCTTAAAATAACAAATGTGTATTAGAAATAATTCAACAAGCTATATAAATTCCATATAAATCGAACTTCGTGACCAAAGTTGGAAGTCCCACTATACTGCTCTATTAACGCTCGCTCGAACGTATCTAGATCGAAAAATGGCGCGAAGAAATGCGACATAGGTCTAAGGTTGAGGAGCGCTCGCGCGGTACTGAGCTCAGACGGCCGCTGCATCTTAATTTGTAGTGATTTTGCGTTTACATTTATCGTATTTATTGAAATAATATAATAAATTTATGCTTTAAAATTATAATAACTTTGTTCCTTATGAAATAATCATTAATTGGGCATAAATTTTGTTAAATAATATTGTTGTGGCTAAGAGAAATTCAAAGTTAACTTCAAGCAATTTTTGATGTTTTTTGGTTTGTAATATGATTGTTTTTCTATATTTAATCAGGGCTATTTCAAAATTTCGACGCTACTGTTTACTTTACGACTATATAAGAGATATCATTCTATTTCTTTTATTTCGTTTGTTAAGAACAGTAGCTCAATCCAGGACTTCAAAAAAGTGTCTTTGCGCATTTTATGAAAATCTTTCTCTGGTATTTTGGGTTTAATTAAAAAGATGAGCAAAATTTCCAAAAAGTTGAGCCACTAATTTCTATACCAAGAGTTATTCTTCACTATTCAACAAGTCAAAATTGTTAATTTATTTTTGTTTCTGAGAAAAATCACGCAGAAATCACAGTTGAGATGTAATATGGGTCTTAATTGTACAAGATTGCCAGCTGTAATTAAAGAAGAAAGATTCGATTGTTAATTTGTTTGCATCTGTTCATTGACTTTACTTTTGTATTCATTAAAATAAAGCTAAGCAACCGAGCGAACGAATGTTACTCGCAGTTCGTGTCATCCCGCGCCGTTTACGCCGGTCTTTCGAACCGGTCAGCGGAGGCGTGTCATGATCGGCGCGGCGCGGCGCACACGTCTATTCCTCATTTGACCAATGCTCGGGTCGCGGATGGAGCGCGCGCTGTTAGGGCGGGCGGCCGACAGTCTCGCGCCGCAGACGCCGCGCCGCCTCAGCCCTCGACCTTGTTAAGTTTTGTTTTTAGTGGTGGTTGATTAGTTAAAGTTTATTGTTAGGTTTTTTGTTAAGTTTGTTTTTTTTTGGTATCACGATGCCAAAGAGAGCAAAAAAGACAGTTCTTAATAGTGCATGCCGTGAGTTTGTGGTTCGCTTACGGGTTGTTATTTTGAACGCGAGAACCAAAATGGCGGGCCATTGTTGCCATTAACGCAAGTGTGCGAACGAGTTGCTGACGCTCTTGGCATTGGTAGAGCTACTGTAGTTCGTATTAATAAGGAAAAATATGAGGAAGGATCAAGCAATGCGCCAAAGGTAGATGCTGATAAAAAATTATCAACTCCAAACAAAAAAAGAAAAAAAGCTTCACCGGTCTCGGATATCGACGATTTCGACGCTGCTGCTATCCGGAATCATATTTATGGATATTATAACCGAGGCGAATACCCAACACTCATAGAGTTGAGTGTGTCTCTCAAAGACGCAGATTTATTTAAAGGAAGCTTGCCAAGTCTATCCAAAATATTAAAAAATATAGGCTTTAAATATAAAAAAGCAATCGAAGAAAAATTGTAATGGAAAGAACCACAGAACATAGAGAGAGAATAGAAGTAGTAAGTGGGCGTGGCAAGCGTCGCTGGCATATGCGCTTTTACTCATATGACGCCCTTTCCTCGGTTTTATATTTGTCAGTCGTTCGTCAATCGTCGAGTGGTGATTTTACTGATTTTTTCTATAAAAAATACCGTTTTGTACTATTATCACTTGCAAAAAGCAAAACAAAGTATACAATCAAACTAATGCAAACATTTCCTTTCACTGGTAAGTACAATTTTAGTGCTAAAATATAAAAAACGTAATAATTTGACACAATTTCAAATAAAATATACATTGTTTGCTCAAACCAACATTAATGTTTCTAACCCCGTTTCTAGACAGCAATGTAAATCATATTGTGCACTTTTGCAAAAAATAGTGCTGTGCCTCCTGAAAATAAAAGATGAATTGATACTGAACAGATGAAATAATGAACTATTCAGGCACTTTTTTACGAAGATTCGGTTAATTATTTACACGCAGATAAATATTAAAAAATACTGATGTGCTATAAATATCTAAGTTACAAAGTATATCAACGGTTTATGAACAATATATAAATCAAACGAAACTTCGTGAAAAGCTACGAGTGTTGGCCTAATAGGTCTTATTAGAAACTGGTGAAACTGGATTTCACTTATTTTGCATTACTTATATTTCAGTTTCCCTAATAACTTTACAACGGAATGCCCTGTTTACATAATTTATTTTGTCCTATCCGTTTTAGACCTAAACCTATCAAATGAATTTCAAAACAACATATTATCTATACAAACAAAAAATCATGTTTTCAACTAACGTAATATTGTTGGTGGTGTGAATTTAATTTACAAAATTAATTTATAGGCGTCAATTTAATTTACTTTATTATGCTGATTCATAATCGGAAACCATTATTATAGAAATCGAGTTAAGATAGCCACTTTAAAGAACCGCCCACAGAACAGCTTTTATCAGTTTTTTTGTTGCTTCATATTTGCACATAAGTTTATAAACGCATGTCTCAAACGGATGTGAGTTTATATGTAGATTGATGTTTGTACGTACTTATCGCTTTTGTGTCTGTCTTCAAACTTTTTTGTCACGGTTTTCAAACTCATACTTGACCAGCGATTTCTTATTGTCCAGTCGTTGCAATTAAAAATGTAGGTACTATTATTATTACAGTTATAAAACTTAGAATAATAAAGTAAAACAAACATGGCTATGATCAATTTATTATTGTAATGATCATATTAGTTATTATGAATCGCTTTTGAAGCGTCCAAAAATTTTTTTTCCCCTACCACTTGTTCAGGACGTCTTTTAGCTGACAAGAAGAACAAGCGAAAGAAACTTACCAGCCCTATGATATTTACATAAATCATGTAATTTCATATCTTATCACAATAATAAATACAACTTTCAAAGTCTGTAGGAAATAGGTTGAACATATAATTAGTCTTTATAGAACAAAGCGATGGCTATTCATTCCATGCATTGCGATTCTTAAAATAATCATCAACTTTATAATAGCCTTTACTCATAAGTATGTTCATTACATGAATTTTAAATCTATTTATGGGTAGGTCAACTACATTTTGTGGAACTTTATTGAACATAGCAATGTAAATGCATTGATCCTCTGGTTTTCTGAAGTCTGAAGCTTGGAACGGCAAGTTTATTTTTATTTCTTGTGTTATGATTATGAACACTACTTTTTTTTTGTGAAGGAATCATAATGTTTTCTTGCGTAGATAATATTTTCATTGATGTATTGAGAGGCAACAGTCAAAATATTTATTTCTTTAAATATTTCTCTGAGAGATTCTCTAGACCGTAAATTTTATATAGCATGGACAGCTCTCTTTTGTAGAATAAAAATATCTTGAATGCTAGCCGCAGAACCCCACAACAATAGATTATACGTCATTACACTATGAAAATAACTAAAATATACTAATCCTGCCGTTTCAACATTTGTCGAGAGTCAAATGCTGCAGAACTCAGTCTACTTGACAAATTATCAATATGAGGATCCCATTTCAGTCGGGAATCTAGTGTAATACCAAGGAACTTTGTCGATTTCACCAACTCAACTTTTTCACTATTTACATTTATAAGTGTATTAATATGCCTCACATTAGGTAATGCAAGCTTTATGGATTTCATTTTATTTGAATTAAGCTTTAAATAATTACTATCAAACCACTGTAGAACATTGTCGAACTGAATTACATTTTACTGTTTCATAACAAAATTTAAACCTCTTATTTCATCAACTAATATTATGTCACATCACTAATATGCACAATCGGAATGATACCAGTAAGAAAAAATTACAAATTAGGCTTAATGTAATAAATACAAAAATTCTGTTGGTTTCTTAATTTTT